AAACTGTAGAGAATTAGCATAATTTCTTCCTTAAGTATTTGATAGAATTTATCAGTGAATCCATCTGGATTCACTCCAGATGCTCCAGAGCTAGAGATCATAACTTTCTTTGTAAGTACAGAGTACAGAGTCAGCTACCATAGTATATGCATTGTTGCTTTGCAAAAAGTCAGTATAATAATAATGGCACAAATGGAAATCTGTCCAGTTTATCTGTTTTTTTAATTCTTATGTCTTTCATAGCTTCCAACAAGTTTGCATAGCTTTTTATAGAGTATCTTGATGTGTCCTGGTAACTAATTCGTTTTAGTTGGCTAGAACTGTGCCTCATACTTTCTGTTTTGGAAGATTAGTAATTATTAATTAAATTTCTTTAATCAGTCTAGGCCTACTCAGTTGATCTATTTTTTTTTTCTTGTGTAAGTTTTGGTGGTTTGTCTCTTTCAAGGAATTGATCCATTTATCTAGGTTATCAAAGTTGTGGGTATTGAGTCATTTATAATGTTCCTTTGTTCTTTTAATATCCATGAGATCAATAGCGATGGCCCCTCTTCATTTCTTCATATAATTCATTTCTTCCTTCTCTTCTTTTAGTTAGCTTTGCTAGAGGTTTATCAATTTATTGACCTTTTCAGAGAACTGGCTTTTTGTTTCATCGATTTTTCTCTATTGCATTTCTGTTTTCAATCTCATTGATTTCTGCTCTAATTTTTTAATTTATTTTCTTCTACTTCAGATTTAATTTGTTCTTATTCTAGTTTCCTAAGATGGAAGCTTAGATTATTGATTTTAGGTCTTTCCTTTTCTTATATATGCATTCTATGCTATAAATTTTCCTCTAATTCCTATCTTCACTGCATCCCAAAATTTCAATACTTTGGAATTTTTTTTCATCTAGTTCAAAACATTTAAAATTTCTCCCAGGACTTTTTTGACTGTGCATTAATTAGAAATGTGTTGTTGAAAAGTATTTGGAGATTTTCCCACTATTTCTCTGTTATAATTTCTAGTTAATTCCATTGTGGTCTGAGAGCATACTTTTTATGATACCTATTTGTTAAGGTATGTGTTATGCACCAGAAAGTGGTCTATCTTAATGAATGTTCCATGTAAGTTTGAGAAGAATGTGTGTTCTGTTGTTGTTGGATGAATAGTCTATACATGTCAATTAGATCCAGTTAATTGAGGTGTTTTTCAGTTTGACTCTGTTCTTACTGATTTTCTGCCTGCTGGACTTGTAAATAACTGATAGAGGAGCTTTGAAGTCTCCAACTGTAATAGTGGATTTATATATTTCAAGATTACGTAATGAGTATTCTTTTCCCCTGACATACTATGGAGAAAATAAGATTATTCCCTTTTTGAGATTCACTTCTTACATTTACTGTTCCAAAAAGCTGAAGCAACATATAGATAGTGTAATTGAATGGTTTTGAGTGGCTAACAGGTTTCTTTCTGACTAAAAGAAGAGTGAATATATCTGCCTTCTCATGAAAATCTGAGTCACCTGCAAATACATTTAAGAGGAAGTAATTTTAAATATAGATTTATTCAAAACTTTGATAATATGTTCTGTTTTCAATTTGCTGTGGATTACATCTCTTTTTTTCCTCTCTTTCTGATTTATGGGCAAATTTATGATTCTGATGGCTTCTTTTATACCTTATTTATTACAGTCCCATGAAGTGTTATTTTGAAAGCAGTAGTTTAGGGCAAAAAGGAGCAAAGTTTTAACATAATCCAGGTCTTATTTTGTAATAAAGACGTTGTGTATGTATAGAACAGAAGGTTATATGGTGTGAAGCATGACGTTGTATGCCTTTTTGTTAGCTGCTACAACTTAGATTTCCTCCTTGTTAAACATATTTTTGGGTACCAAAGTAAGTATAAATGGCATTGATTAGGTAATATTTGTCTTTCTACTCCATTTCCCTTTACTAAGGAACACAAGTAAGGAGTAAGTAAGGAATAAAAATGGCACATTCACAGCTATCTACCAGACTTTTGTTAGTTTGCCAGGAAGTTGGGGGAAGGGAGGCTCTGTTTTGTTTGTGGGGTAATCTCGGGGAAATACCGAACATCCTGGAAGGAGGACTATTAGACCATAGCATTGGTCTTTATGTCTAGGAGAAGAACATGTTCTTACTCATGGGACTGACAGAAACTGTATGTTTTTCTCTAGCTTTAGCTTTTGTTCTGTACTGGTTGTTGTTGTTAGTCCCTTTGTAATAGAGATGGGTGGATTTAATCCTGCCCCTACATTTGTATTCTGTGAAAATAAATGCTTAGGGAAACACTTTCTCTGTGTGAGAGTCCTTTGTCAGACTGGAAAGACTGGAGAGTAGCACTTAATTCTGTAGAGTAGGTCATAGTACTCAGTTCCTACAGCGGGGATTTGGCAGTGTATGCAAACCACTTTATTCCTCAAGAAATGACTCTAGCAAGACAGTGAGTATACTTTTAATTGAGGCTAGTTTCTTCAAAGTCTGCACCCTTAATAATTGGGAGTATGGTGTAGGACATTTTGTAGAGATGTGTCCATTTTCTACTTAGGTTTAACCTTTTGGGTAAATAAATTCTGTACATGGAGTATGATTTACCAAAGGGATAAAAATTAATTTAAGACTAATTCAGTTCCATCATATATACTAATAATCTGTATCTCTTTATTCATTTATTTCGAGAAGATGATGTATGTTTCTGTACTCATTTGATTTCACACCCTTTTTCTTTATTAATTCACAGACTCTTTTGACGGTTTTTTGTATCTTCATTTATCACAGCCTGAGTAAATATTAGGATTGAGGAAGTAATGGGTTTATAAGTCCCAAAATACAGTTTTTTACAAAAAAAAGTATGAATGAGAAAAGGTAGATTTGTGACATTAAAAAGAAACTATGACTTTACCAAATGTTACAAGCTTATATTTAGGATGGCAGTTCATGGTTCCCTCAGTGATACCTCCTACTCAGTGATAATGATATGGTTAGCTTGTAAGTGATTCCTTTTGTGAGCATAATTTAATTTTACTTCTAGCAAAGAAATGTGTTTAATACGGTAAAAGAAGGAGCTTTAATACAAATAAGTGTAAAATTAGTGTTAACCAGAAGGATAGAAGGAATGCAGAGGAGTAAATATGTCATATAATTTGAAAACTCTGGCTAGGAGACTTGATCAGATTGAATACCCTGGGAAAAAGAAAGAAAAATACAGCTGGCCATTTAATATTTTGTGGAGATTTCTTTTGCTGGTCATAGAAAAACAAGGCTGTGATTTTTTAATTTTTAAGATCTAATTTCTCTTTCATCTTTATTGAAAATTTTTTTGTTCTTAATTGAAAAGGATTTAATATTCTTATCTAATCCTGAAATTTAAAATTAATTTCAGAAGAGTCCTAGTATACAAGATAGTTGAGCTCTCAAAACTGAAATATTTTAATATCCATAAATAAATAAATAAGGAAGGTCTTCAGACATTACCCTTTAGTCCTTAGGGTAATTGGTGAAAAATGATTAAGCAAAAGTAATGTTAGTAATAGTAGCTATTATTTACTATGTGCTGGACACTATACTCAATCCTTTATTATGTGCATTTTATTTCCTCATTTTTTTAATAAAAATTGTATTTTGTATGTGGTCTTATTATTTCCATTGTTTTATGGAGAAAAAAAGAAGGGTCCAAACTCGGATCCATCTGATCCTCTAGGGCTCTAGAGATCATAACCATTTTGGGTTTCTTTGTAAGTAGGGTGAACTATCACATTGCATGCATTGTTGATTTGTAAAAGTCAGTATTATGACAAAACAGAAATCTGTCCAGTTTCTTTTCCTTTTTACTATGCTCATGTCTTTCATAGCTTTCAACAGGTTTATATAACTTGTCAGTTACCTTGATGTTTATGGGTGGTTAATTTATTTTAGTTGGCTGAAACAAGAGCTTTTTAAAACCTAGGTTAGAGTCAGCTCTTCCGAGCCAGTGGTTTCAGCTGCATTGATCACAAGAGCAATCTGTAATAGCTCAGGAGAGTCAGCACATTATTTATGGCACAACCAGAGTTCACTATATTATGATTTCTGTTTTAGGAATTAGGTCATGATCTGAGAAAGCTGTAGCTGTTGTATCAACCTGAGGAAACTCATCTGTTTTTGTGGATTTTTTATAATAATGTTCCTCTTCATGTATGGCTTTCAACTGCATTATGCAAGAGACTGGTCTAGGCAATTATAGAAGGTAAAGAATTTTTCTTAGGAATTCAGAATGTAGGCAAGTCATTAAGATTTAGTCACAGGTAGCTGTTGCAGTACCAACCATAAAGAAATAATATAAAGACAAAAACTGAAGTCATGTAGAAAGACTAAAGTAGACATGCCTGAGAAGGTACTGTTGATTAGGTACACTTTTGAAAATCTAATTTTTACTTTCTAGAGTTTATTTTTCTTACTACCTTAGGTTTTTTAATGTACTTCATTTCTTATTCTTGCTCCCTCCCTTTCTTTCTGATACAGATCATATGGCATGGGTATGTTTCTCACCTTTGCCTAGAAGAAATTCTTTCAGCATTTCCATTAGGATAAACGTTTGAGCTAAACTGATTTGGAGGGGAGAGTTGAAACTACCTTTTCTTTGTAAAATGCCCACCATTATGATTTTAGATGTTGTCTTCAGTGTTATCTTTGATGTTAGCAAAGCATGTTGTTTTCTGTAGTGTTTCCTTTATAAGCAACTATAATTCTATTCAGTCAAATTCTGTCTTATGAAGCAGTTCATAAATCTTATATTGTGAACCAGTTGGATGTAGCGGTTTTAAACTCATTCATGTGTATTTCACTGTAGCTTGACACCGGTATCTCCTGGATTTTCAGCATGGAGTGGGGAAAGAAACCCTGATTACAGTTCTCTTTCTCCATTTAAATTTCTCCATTTTTTGTTTTGTTTTGTTTTGTTTTGGCTCTTTTTCTCAACTGTCAGTGGAATTATTGTCTTCCTGTCTCCATATTCAGGTAGTATCAGTGGCTGAGTATCACCGCAGGATCGATGCTCTAAATACTGAAGAACTACGCACACTCTGCAGACGTCTCCAGGTGCCCCATTCAGTAGTTTAAACCCCTCCGGAGATTGAATACTCCCTGTTTTTAGTGTCTTTCGTCAGGGCAAATCTCATTTTTAAAGGATTTGTTTTGACTGCAGCACTAAAATAGCCCATCAGAAAATTCCTTTTTGTATTAAAGAGTATGGTTTTGCCTTGAAGAGCTCTAGGATTATCTTTTCTGTCATCTTTTCATTTAAAAATATTCAGAGGAATTTTCTGGCACTGTAGAACTGTTCTCAGTACTGTGTGTTTCTTAGAGCAATGAGGAGTGTTCACTTAATTTTAAAATTGGAAGAATGTTTTGGGTTTGAGGTTAAATCTTTACTAAATAGAATCTGAGCGATGACGTACTGTCAGGCAATTGAAAACCTTTTAATGAGTAGCAAGACTTAAATATTTTCTCTTCTTTAAGGTTATTTCAGTTGTATCAACCTCACATCAAATATTTTAATGAGATAAATTGTTTTTGTTTTTGAGGTATTCCTGGTTGGATTAGAAATACTTCGGAATAGTATACCCTAGACATCAGAACTAGAAAAATGATTTAAAATTCCATGAAATAATCTTTGTGATTTTTTTTTAATAACAAGAAAGTGATACAGTTGAACTCATTTTTCAGTTTTGTGTATTATTGTGTGTTTTCCTCTTCTTACTAAGATACGCTTTCATGGCTGTGCTAGAACTACTGATTTTTGTCTTTTCTTTTGATGCTTCTCATGCTGCCTTGGATTTTTTTTTTTTAACCTTTCACATCATCAGAATAAGGGTAAAACATGCTGATGATGTGAAAGAATTAATATAGTTTAACTGCTCATCAAAAAGCAGTACAGTTCTAGAACATGTATTGGTTGAAAATATATGCTATTTAGGTTTGGTAAGACATCTGTTAAAGGAACAAAATAGTTTAGCAAGATTTCATTCTTAATGGAATCAGTTGCTGTGCATTGCTGCATTTTAGTTATCTGCTCCAGTAGAATTTTCCAACTTAAAAGTTTCATCAATAATAGTTATGTTTTATATCTTTTATTTCCTAATGTTACTGCATTTATATATTAAAATTAATGGTACTTTATAATTTATTAATAAAATATGAAAAGTATCAACAGAATAGATTGTATCCGAGTTTGAGTTAATTGACATTTTTATCATTTTAAGAATATCAGTGAGATCATTTCCATCATGCAAAAGCATATATTCTTTTTTAATGCATCACATTTATCTAATTTTTAAAATATAGTTATGAAAAAATTAAATCTATTGTGTGGTCCAACTCGATTAAAAAAAGTGTTTTGAAAATAAAATCAAGGAAGGCATTTTCTAAGTAATGGTAATTTTTCAGTGAAGCAAATAAATCTATGTATGCACACATACTGATGAAAATTATACTTTCTTAAAAAAAAATGTTTAAGAAAATTATACTTTCTATTGGATCATTCTTTAAAATTTTGGCACCCAGAAAGTTTTCTTAATTATTTTTGGCAAATTTTATGTTTACCATGAAAAAAACCCCACATATTTTAAATAGCACAGACAAATAGCAAGCTAGCTGGCTCACTTTTGCCCTTCAACAGGAAAATTAAAGTTTGCATGTGACTTTTCCTTTCACACAGAAATATGGGTGTTAATCATTATCTTTCCATCATATAGTGGTTGAGAAAAATGTCTGTTTATAGTTAAAAAATCTTTTTCTACATTGGATATACTATTGTTATTTGATAGAGCATCCTTGCCTTCTAAAATCCTAAATTAAAGTTTTAGCCCACTTTTTTAAGGTACAAAGTTTTATTTCTCTCAAAAGGCAGAAATTGTTTAATGCATGTTGCAATTTTATATTAACATGCTGCTGCTGTTTACTTCTTTAGATTACTACAAGAGAAGACCTAAATTCAAAGCAGATTGCTCCATTGAAAGCAGACCTGGAGTCTGAATCTTTTCGACCAAACCTCAGTGATCCCAGTGAACTCTTACTGCCAGATCAAATTGAAAAGGTATAATATACCCACATATGTGCATTTCTGAGTGTGTGCCCGTAAGAGTAAAACAGCCTCTTTTCGGTTGTTTTCAACACTAAAGAAGCAGGGTTACTGCTATTAGTCTTCCTTTCCCGTGAATAAAAGTAAACAAAATATAGCAACTAGTGTAAAAGGTGATGTTGGGAGCAGGCATTAAAATAAACAATAGCAATTTAGATGAGATGTTGTAATAGCCAAAATTTTAATTTCTTACTGTGTACTAGTTACTTGTTTTATGTGGTTATCTCATGTAGTTTTTTACAGCCCCTATAGGAGTTGGATACTCTTATTGTGCGTATTTTATGAGTGGAAAAATTTAGGCATAAAGAAATTTAGTGTCTTGTTCAAAGTCACACAGCTATAAAATGTTGAAGCTTGATTTCTAGGGCCCATTATTTGGGAAGTTGTTAATAATTAAGCTAACAGTCCATTCAGTATTTTTGTTAATTCAATACAGAGGGTGAAAACAATAAGTAATCCCTATTTCTTGTCTCTCTTCTAATCCATGTCTTGTTTGGCATGTTCCTTTCTTTTCCTGGTGAACAATGACTATTTCATGCTGAGAAATGTACAGTTATTCTTCAAGCATCTGTGTATCTTTGAGAATAATCTCTACTGTTATTTTTGTAGCCTATATTTTATGAAATACCATTATATTTCAGCTGACATTACTATCTTGCACATTGACAATAAGCTATCAAGTAAAATGTTAACATTTTATTTTTCAAAGCTTACCAAGCATCTTCCACCAAGAACAATCGGCTATCCATGGACTCTTGTTTATGGCACCGGGAAGCATGGCACAAGCTTGAAGACCCTTTATCGAACAATGACAGGTTTAGACACCCCAGTGCTGATGGTGATTAAAGACAGTGATGGGCAGGTATGAAAAATAACTACATGGACACCTTACCCTTTAAGAGATTACAGTAAAAGTAACATTTAATATATTTTTTGATAAAAATTATTTTCATTAAGTTTAACTGATAATTTTATTGAGTACTTCTAATATACAAGGCATTTTTGAGTGCTACAGAGGATAGATATGAGCATGAATCATTAAAGGGATTATAGTCTGGTAAAAAAGAACATGTAAGTATACCAGTATCTCCTGGAACAAGCAAAATATGCCAAATGCAGTGAGAACCTAGAGAAAGCAGAAGGGGTGTTCATATCTATCTGGACAGGTAAGAATGAAGTTCATGGAAAGGGTGAAAATTGATAGAGTCTTGAAGCATAGGTTAAAGTTTTGAAAGTTAAAGAGAATTGTGTGAGGATGCTACCAAGAAAAACCATAGGTAAGCAAGAAAAATATGGTTTTTTCCTGAAACATCAAGTTCAGGTCAATTAGTTCAGATTGGAGAGTAATGAGAGGATGAAATAGCAATATTAATTTAAAAAACAAAACACTACTACTACTGACACTTTTATTGTGCTTTTTACATTTGACTAATCATTGATAGGCATTGTCTTATTTAATCATCAAAGCCCTATGAGATTGATACTTTTATCATCACTGTTCTAAGGAAGAGTAAACTATGACTAAAAGAATTTCATCAGCTTCCCCAAAGTTAAACACCCAGTAAAAGGTAATTGCAGCACGAAAATGAAGGAACTGCTTACTACATGCCACAGCATAGATAAGTGTCACAAATGTAATATTGAGTTGAAAATCAGACACTAAGGAGTAACTATCTTATGAATGCATTTAAAGAAAGTTTATAAATGGGCAAAACAAATCTATGGTATTCAGGCTGTTTAGCTTCCCTTGGGGAAGTGGGTGTGGTGATGCAGAGGAGGCACAAGGACAGCTTCTGAAGTGCTGATGATGTTCTGTTTCTTGGTCTAAATGAAGGTTAAATGGGACTTTGCTTTGTGATAATTCCACATTAAGCTGTGTATTTATATTTATATAAAACACGTATATATATATGACATATACCTTTGAATAAGAAAATCTATTTTAAAAATTGAGACTGTCAAAGTAGATTATCAGTAGATTATCAAAAATTAAGATTATAAAAGTGACTATAGAAATCATCTATAAAACTCTACATTCCCATTTTATCATGTGGAAACTTAGATCCAGAGCATTGAAATAACTTGTCCCAGTTCCTTATTCACTCATTCTTTTTTTAGGTTATTTATGTTGTGTATTTTGTTCTGTATAAGAGCATAGCATTACAGGTCTAAGCAATTCAGACCAGAGACCTTCTCTCATGGAATTTATTCTCTAATGAAGACAAAAAGAGCATATACCTTTTTAGTAGAATGTTTACCCATGCAGAAGGGTTTTGCTTTCCTAAATCCTGTAATCCCACTGTAACGTGTTATCCTTATTGTACATGCGTTGTGCATATAAGTTCTCCTGAAATGTGATAATCACTTTTTAAGATTGTTAATTGTTATAATAAGCATCCTTTCAGATTTCAAAACTAGGAAAAATTTCCCATTGAGAAACTGATATGCCTTGTACTTCACAATAATGCAAATTTTATAACAGCTGATTGTGTTTCCCTTTTTAAGTAGGAGGAGATAAAATTATATTACATTTCTGGTTTTTTTTGTATCTTACTTAAACCTAAATAATGAGGTAATGCTTAATGAAGCAAATTAATAGTCATGTCATTGAACATGCCTTTTTTTACTCCTTAGGTTTTTGGTGCATTAGCATCTGAGCCATTTAAAGTGAGTGACGGCTTTTATGGTACTGGAGAGACCTTTGTTTTTACATTCTGTCCAGAGTTTGAGGTAAGGACAGTTATTCCAATATTCAGTTTATAAAGAAATGGCATAATGAAAAGAGCATGCACCTTGGAGTCATATACACTTGCATTTGTCTCTCATCTCTGTCTTTTGCTAACTGTAACTTAGCACTTTTTGACCATTTTGAGGTTCAACTTTCCTATGGATAGAATGGGAGCCATAAATATAACGGGATTGTTTAAAAATTAAATGAGAATCATACATACAACACTTGGCATAGTGCTAGACATACATCATGGTCTCAGTAAGAAGTATACATCATCGTTACTGTTCTGAATTGCCATTGTGAAATTCTTAGAAACTTTCAGTGACTAAGTTGCATGATGTAAGTATTGGAAACTTAAAAAATAAATCATTTGGGTTTAAATCAGTTAATTACCTTTTTCTTACGGCTTGATTAACTTAAATTGAATACATTCCAGTGCCAATAAGATCTAAAATGTAAAGATGTACAATGAATTTTAGTCAATATGTTGACTGTTTAAAACATTGCATGCAATGTCAGCATTTTGGGTACATTAAAATTCAGTGTGTCAAACCTTTACTTAAGAGATCTTGAAAAAAGGTTAAAGAACTAGTCTTTAGAAATAGTTTCTATAATGAGCAGAATAGTTTCTATAATGAGCAGATAACACACTAGAAGATTTCTTAACAAACTTGTACTTAAGTTGGCTTACCAGATTAGCCAGTGCTTTCCATTCCCACATAAAACATAACTGATGCCTACAGCTAACTGGAAGTTTATAATTGTTACAGTTATTTTTAAAGATTTATTTACTCATTTTAGAAAGAGTGAGTGGGGCGGGGGTGGGGGCAGAAGGAGAGAGAGGCAGAGCAGCAGACTCTCCACTGAACATGGAGCCTGATGTGGGGCTGGATCTCGCCACCCATGAGATCATGACTTCAGTCGAAACCAGGAGTCAGAGGCTGAACCAAATGAATCACCCAGGTGCCCCTGTTACAGATTTTTTAAGCATCAGTTGTGCTTATATTTAAATCTTTTTATGCTGTTGCTACCAGATTATGTAATTAATTAGATATTCTATAACTATGAAAAAGTGAATGTTAAAGTTTATTTTATTGAAAACTATAATGAATACTTAGGAAAAAGTTGATAAAGGTGAGGTGTGCAGTGCTAGAATTTGCTATTGTATTAGGTTTAGGTAAAACTCCCATGGAAGGTTAGTAAAAAATATTTAAGAATATGAACATCTAGAAATTTTGCTCTTGGACTTAAGTGTTTTCATGTTCTCACTGCTCTTTAAAAAAATTGAAACTGGAAATCATAAACATATGTAGTGGGCTTATTTAAGAGTGATGGTAGGCAAATCTGTATCCAAAGAAAAGACCTTGGCCTTATATCAAAGTATTATCAAATTAGTGTACATTTATGTTTAATGTTAAAATAAAAGTTAATGGCATCTGTAACAATTTTTTAACTGATTTTCTGCTTCAACTTTTTTCATTAACCATCCAATTCTTGATGCATACATAGAAAAGAGAAGTATGTATAAAGAGATAATAAGATTTGAGGAATTGGAAATGAAAGTTGTGTGCTTTTAAACTCAGTCATACAAATACTGAAGCACAAAACACCAGACCCTTCTGCCCAGTCTTTTGTTCTGTTACTATTCTCTTACTGTCAATCTAGGCTTTGTTAAGTACTTGGGGTTTAGGAGAACTAACTCTGTATAGTGACCATTTTCATCTACATATTTAAAGCTTTTTATTTTTGTAGGTCTTTAAGTGGACAGGAGATAATATGTTTTTTATCAAAGGAGACATGGATTCACTAGCTTTTGGTGGTGGAGGGTAAGTCTCTTGAACATTTTACCATGAGATTTTTAAAGAAACTATTCATCTGTATTATTTATAAAGTCAGTTATTTTTGGAAAGTTTTGACATTAGAATCTTAATTTGTATACTATGACTAAGAGAACAGTATATTTACAAGAAGGTGCTTAAGTGTAGTATGTGAAACTATTGATAAAATATTTGTTTATTCATTTTAAAATGCTGTTGATTCCCTTTTGATTAAAACCCATCTTTTAGTATTTGAAAGTGAAATACACTAACATCTTGTACCTTCTCAAATTTTTTAAAAAATCATGATGGTATGTTTCTCCCAATGTATAAAAAGATCAATTGTTTCCTTTTTATTCTACCCTGGAGACTTTGGATTGATAGTTCAGAGAATAATAGAAATTTGTTTTCCTACAAAAAAATTGTGACACACCATCCCCCCAGATTTTCAGAATTTGTTTTCTTATTTGCTTTGTTTTTAACAGTATCTGTTAGTCATTGATTTGATTTGATTCTTTTGCATAGCAAGCACTATGAGAACTTTTATTTATTCATTCTGGTATCCCAGCTTCATACAGTCTTTACAGTGTTTGGAAGTAATTGGCTCTACTTCCTGCTAGCCTAGACTTTCAAATAGTGCTTATTAGCAAACGTTTACTCCTTCTTTTGTTATTTCTCTCTGTCCTTCAGGACCAGACATAAAGTATGCTAAGTAATTCCCAGACTTATAAAAGTATTGTTTCCCCCAGCTCTGAGGATATATAATAATTCATTCAGGCTGCAGAATCTTGTTAGCCTGCAAGAATATTCAATATCCTGAATGATTCTAACAAATTCTCTTACAACTTCTCTATAGATAGGTGTTTGGAGACATGATTTCAATGATTAAAAAATTACCGTGATTATTATAGCCTTCTCTGAAGGACATAACCCGATAATTAAAAACCATGTTATTTTTAGTTGTGGGAATCAGCATATGTTTATATGTTCCAGTTACACCTTTTTTTATTGGTGGGGTGCAGGCAGTCATTCAGCCCTATCCCAAATGGTAATCTTACATGTGATTCAGTTAGCTCTCCAGGAAGGCCTCACAAGCAAATGGCTGATAATTTCAAGCTGTTAAGGGTGCCTTGAATCTTTGAAGATAACATACATAATGTCATTAGATGTCTGCTGGAACTTGATTTTGATTATACCACATGATTGCAGCAAGCTAAACTAAACACTGGGTCATTTGATAACAAACTAGACAAATTTACAATCTTTGGAGAAGGAGAGTACAGGCTCAGAAACCTAGAGCTACAAGGACTTGATTCCAGAATTCCAGACAGGAGCCCCAAAATCTAAATCATGATGTGATGGACTAAATATAGGCTTTGGAGTTAGACCTGATTTAGATTCTGGTCTCAACATGATATTACATATGGGACCTTGAGCAAACTGAAGTCTAAAGTTTCCTCAGTTGTGAATTGGAGATTGAACCACACATGTTAATGTTAGATGAGAGGGAGTTTTCATGTTAAATATATTAAATATTTAACTCATGTCAAATATATTAAAACCATTTAGCAAAGACAAACCCATAATACCAGGAAAAGAAAAACGGAGTGACACCTGTCTCAAAAGAATTATATGTGAAGTTAATTTTAGAGGATTCATTTTGTACTTAATCTGTGTAATGGGATGTGAACAAAACAAAATTGCTTTGTACCAGTGTGAAAAGGAGTGGGAAAGGGTTTGAAAAAATTAATGATTTTAGAGTTTTGAATATTGAAATTTCATTTAAATTATTATTTTACAACCTCTGCAATACTTACCTTACAACTTAGGACGTAAGTATTAAGACATTATTGTTAAAACTGTTTTCTTTTATATATTGCAGGGGAGAATTTGCCCTTTGGCTTGATGGTGATCTCTACCATGGAAGAAGCCATTCTTGTAAAACATTTGGGAATCATACACTTTCTAAGAAGGAAGATTTCTTTATTCAAGACATTGAAATCTGGGCTTTTGAATAAATGTAATGCTCTCTGTCTTAGCAGGATAATGGCCCAAACCTGACATGGACAAGCATTGTTTGGAAAGTTCAAGAAGCAATACAATGTAACATGTCACTTGTGCTTTAAAGTTAATTGTATCACCATTTTTTACAGCTATAATTTTGGACTTTATTTTTAAAATCATGTTTCTGTCCCAGAGTTTTTTAGGTGTAGACCATGGTGTGGGTCCATGCAGTTTAACAGCTTGGGTTTTGTTAGAATTTTGTCAGCATTTTAATCATAGTGACCACCTCATCTACAATCCATGTTATCTCAGTCTCCTAATAGAATGGTGCTCTTTTTTTGAACCTCTTTTGGTTTATTACTTTTAAAACTATATTGATTGTTTTACTAGAGCAGTCTAATTGGGGCATTGAGAGAATGAAGACTAGATAATGCTGTAAGGCATCTGGAGGTTGGCACCGGTGACTTGGACAAGCTCAACTTAGTCATTCTTGTGAAGGAAAAGACACATGCCAAAATAATGCATATTTCATAAACCACTGAGTTCTAATTTTAATTCACACTACAACGTTCTCTTTATTAATTTTGCAGGTATTCTTAATTTCATTTTAATAAAAATGAAATTTGAAGAAATTCTGGTTGTAATAGACCACAATGCACATGATCTGCAGGTTTGGGCATATGCTTTCATGGTTGGATTATCTGATAAAGTTATAAAATACAAAGGAGAATGAGAACTTGATGATTCTACTGGACTTAATATATCAAGCAAGAAAATATACTATTTACATATTTGTAGCTTAGCAGGGCATTATCATAAGTACAAAAACTATGAAACAGATGCATATTTCTTCAACATATTGTGTCAGATATACTGTTTTATAGTTCTGTTGTTTTAGCCTTGTTGCACACCAACTCCCAAAATATAGGTTCCTGTTCAAAAGGAAAAAAAAATGTTTTTTTGAGTGGTATATGTTACTAACTACCATTAGCATTTGCTGTTAGAAAAGGGCAATGATTATAGTAGACAATATTGTAACTCAGTAGACTTGTTGAATATGCAAACTTACTGTCAAGTGACCTCAAAAAAAAAAAAAAAGACAAGATAGAATATACTAGTAGTTCTTCTCCTCTTTTGTAGGAAACCGATAATATGCCATTGTGGCGGTCATTCATCAGTTAATTTCAGAGCTTCATGGTATGCAAAAAAAAAAAATCCTGCTGTTATACATGTGACAGTGACCTTGTGCTGAAATTTCAGCTATTCCAGATAAACATTGTATATTATCTTGTAAATTAATGTTTAAAGGTAGTTTTGTTCTTATAGAAAGTATTGATTGCCAGGTTGCTTATAGCACTTTAAATTATTCTAAAAAGGAAATTATAAGCCAAATATGTTGGCTTTAGTAGTTTTAGTTGTATAGGACTTGAATATATTTAGATCTTTTGAAAGTTTAAATAATTATCTAAAGAAAGCATAATGCTAATGGAAAACAAAATCTGATCTATTTAATATGCTATCGCTGAATATGAATAGAAATGTGGGCATCATTTCCTTGTCTATGTAAAGCTCTCTCATTATAAGTAACAATATATAGATTAAATGTTTACAATATAGAGAATTGTAAATAAATATATCATTTTTTCCCCTTTGGTCTTCCACAGCAGTATTATTGTCTTTGTGGAGTTGACTAATAATTAAAAAAGAAAAAAATCCTGTATTGGATTTCAATTACAATAAGGTCATAGTGGTGTATACCAAATAAAATTAAATACTTAAAATACAAATTTGAGTTTGGATTTATTGAATAATCAAGTTACTTCCATATCTGAGAAGTCTTTGATTAAACCTGCTACTATGGTTTATGTGTAAAAAATGCTTCTAGTAGTTTTGGGTGGTAGTAGTAGTGATGGAAGGATGCATTCAAGTAGAGAGAACATCATAGTTTAAAAAATGAGGAAGTGAGAGGGCACTTGACCTGTGAAGAAGTGCAAGTCATTTGATACTTTTAGTTTATGTTGATTTCTTTTTTTGATGTGGAGTGCATAGCAAGGTAGGACTGATACCATAAAGAGTTTCATTATGTGCAATGCCAAGAAATTTAGATTTTTTTTTATCTCATAGGAGCAATTAAGAAAATTTGAGTGGAGGAATGACATGATGAAGTTTACACTTTAGAAAGATCTCTCAAAATTAGATTGGTAGAGGAAAAAACTAGAGACCAGGAGACAAATAAGCAAGCCTTTATACAGTCCAGAGAAAAAATGATGAGGCCTGAATAAGAATTGTACAATGGTGATCAAGAAGGAGGCACGGTGGGGGGAGGGGGAAAGCATGGATTTGAAAGAGATTTAGGAATTAGTGTTAACACAATTTCATTATTGTCAGAAAGAGCTAAGGATAGTTCTTAGGTGTTTTACTTAGCAACTGGGTAAATTATCCATTGATATGAGTGATGTACAAAAAAGAGAAGCAGCAGATAGGGAAATTAGGTTAGTTACGAGAAATTAGCTGATGGGGAGAGGTGTTAATATTTCATTCCATTAAAAAGATTTTAAAATCAACAACATACAGGTAGATGTTGAGCCACTACCTATGAATGAAATGCCCTTGGAGATTATAGACTGAGTGAAAAGAGAGAATTCTTGAGATAAATTTTGTGGATATAGTAATATTAAGTGATAGGCAGAAGAAAAGACTTAAGCTTCCATTTCTAGAAGCTAGAACAAGAACAAATGAAACCTAATGAAAATAAAAGGACAAAATGAAAATAGGAACAGAAGTCAGTAAAATTTAAACAAGGATACAAGACAAAATCTGAGAATAATAAAACTAAACTTCTAGGAAGGTGAAGAAAAAGTACGATTGTTAAGAATGTGAAAGGACACATTACTACAGAGCCTCTAGACTTTAAAAGAGAGCATATTGTGAACAATTTTACATCAATAAACTTGACAATGTAGGTAAAATGGAAAAAACATTTCAGAAAACAGAATTCGCTAAACCTGACCCCAGAAGTAATACAATTTTTGTATTGTAGAATTTGAATTTGTTAATGAAATAAAAATAGTCCACAAAAAAACCAGGCCCAAATGGTTCCACTGGGTAATTCTTTTAAGTATTTAAGGAAAAAAAGTCAGTCTTAATTAGATGAACTTTTCCCAGGGTATTAAGAGAGAACTTCAGATACTGCCTTTTGAGGCCAGCATGACTTGATACCAAAACTTTACAATTCTTACAAGAAAATGAAGTTCTAAAACAGTCTCATATGAACATAGATACAAGATCCTACATAAAATAACCGCAAATCAAATCAGCCATATATAAAAGAATATCACCAAGTTAAGTTTATTCCAGGAAAGCAAGAGAAGTTAACATCTTAAAACATACCATTTATCACATTTACAGAAAAAAAGTTTCATGATCATCTCCATAGAAGCAAAAGAAGCTTTTGGTTAATTTCACTGGGGGTCTATGATAAAAACTCAGCAAACTAAGAAAGAAGTGCTCTTCCTTAATCATTAATGATAAAAAAAAATTATTCTTGAAAAATGTACAGGAAGCATTAATTTATTGAAAGTTTCCTCCCAGAGATAGGAAACCTGACAATGATAACTGCTATCACCACTTCTATTCAACATTGTTCTGGAAGTTTCAAACAGTGAAAAAGCAACAAAGAAGGCATACATAGGATTGGGAAGGAAGAACTCTAAATGCCATTTGTATGTAACATGATTTAGGACATGGAAAATTCCAAAAAGATCAAACTATTGGAATTAACTAGTTGATTAAGCTAGGTCACTAAATACCAGTACAATATAAAAACTTCATTTCTCATGTACAACCAACAATTAGAAAACGAAGCTTAGAACATTGCCATTTGTAATACCATTGAAAGTATTAGATATATAGCAGAAAAGACCTCAGTAAGAAGGATATATACCATATTCATGATTGGAAGACAATATTGAAAGATGTCAGTTCTCCAAATCAATCTATATTGGCAGTGAAAATCTCAGCCAGGCTTATTTTTGGAAATTAAGCTGATTCTATAATTTATGTGGAAATTTTAAGACAGAATAGCCTAGCCAGGGCAACACTGAAGAATGAGGCTGTAGTCTTGAACACCAGATATTATGATTAAAAAGATGAGTAAGTATGACAACGTGGTATTGGTCAAAGGATTTACAGAGGAAAGAATCAAAATCAAGAGCCCAGAGAAGAATTTTTTTGAAAAGATGGCACTTGTTCAATCAAGAGGATGGTCTTTTCAATAAATGGTGCTGGATTAATTGGATATGCATAATGAACAAATAATCTTGATCCATCTCACACTACACACAAAAATTACAGATTGTGGATCTAAATGGAAAAAGTAAAAAAGTAAAAGTAAAGTATTAGCTTTAAAAATATAGAATATCTTCATGAACTTAGAATATGCATACATTTGTTAAATGGGACAAAAGAGCACTCATAAAGGAAAGAAATGATGAACTCTACTACATTAAAATTTTAAGAACTTTTTATCAGAAGACATTATTAAAAGTGAAAAGGCAAGCAACAGAGTGGAAGGTTTGTATAATACACAGATCTAATGAATGTCTAAGCCCACAAAATATAACTGACTACAAATCAAAAAAATTCAACAAAGAAGGTGAGACTTTGGCAGTTCCAAGAGAATTAGAATAGCCAATAAAGGCTATCTTAAAGGGAAATGTGAACTGGAAAAATTGGGGAATTTTTCTTGGCAGGATCTACTAAAGCTGAGCCTTTGACCAGCAATTTAATTCCTTCGTATATACCCAACAGTAATGTGTGTATTTGTTTACTGAGAGGTAAGTATTGGAAGGTTTACAGAACTATTTGCTTTCTCTTCTCCCCACTCTCTTCCCCCTCCCTCCACACACCCATCCACTCACTTATTATGCTGAATCTAATTCTATTATACCTTACATATGTATTTGTGTGCCTCTCCAAGACCTGGGGTATCCTTTTATATAACCACAGTACAATGTTTGAATTCAGGAAATTTAACATAACAATATTTTGATTTAATATGCCATTCACTTTTTAATTTCACCAGTGGTCCTAATAATGTCCTTTAAAGCATTATTTTTCCTGATCCATTATCCAATCCAGGATACTTCATTGCAGTTAGTTGTTCTTTTTGATCTCTTGAAAGAGTTCATTAGTCGTTCTTTGTGTTATATGAGTGATGTTTGAAGAGCTCAGGATTATAGAATGTCCATCAATGTGGATTTGTCTGAATTTTTCCTATATTTAGGTTATGCATTTTTGGCAAGAAAACCACAGAAGTGATGTGTTCTCTGCATATTATGATGCACATATATATGTTTATCCCCTTATTGGTGATAATAGCTTGAATTAGTTGATTAATATATAAAAACTATGTTTTTCCACTGCTATTACTTTCCCTTTGTAATTAATAAAGAATGTGTGGGGAAATACTTTAATACCATAGTTATTGTTCTCCAAATTTTCAGTGTTTTTGGTATCCATCGAGGATTCTTGCCTGAATTACAGAAATTGTTGCAAAATTACGATTTTTCTAACTTTCATTCCCAGCACATTTATTAGTTGGCATTTACTGTAAGAGCTTTCTTTTATCACTTAAGAATATGTATTATTGGTATGAACTAATAGGTTCTTTTTTTTTAATTCAAAGTGTTAGAATCCATTTCTGTCCTATATTTAACCAGTGAGTGCCCTGTCAAACTGACTTCTATACATTTTCTTGAGCGCTTGCCCCTGGTAAAACATGATGTTCCAGATTTACCCGCACTTTCTGTAATCCAATCCTAGAATCAGCCATTTCTCCAAGTAGACATGTTTCTCTTCAAGGAGAATGATATTTGGAAATCTGTTATTTTTTTTTAAGATTTTATTTATTTGAGAGAGCACAGTGGGAGAGTAAGAGGGAGAAGCAGACTCCCTGCTGAGTGGAGAGCCCCATGCAGGGCTTGATCCCAGGCCTCTGAGATCATGACCTGAGCCAAAGGCAGATGCTTAACCAACTGAGCCACCCAGGTGCCCAGAAATCTGAATGTTGCTTGTTGCTGCTGGGGTGGCGTTGCTTCTAGGG